TGTCTCACCTAGTAATGGAATGATATGGCTGAGTGGCTCGGCTAAATGAGATACTCATTCATACTGGGCTTGTTGGGTTTGCAGGAAGGAGACGTCACGATTACCAGTTATAAGCTCCTGACTTCAACATTACAATGATTTGATGAATTAACTTGCTTTGCTTACGCAAACGGTCTCATTAACTTTGACCATATCTCTACTGTGAATATTCGGTTGACTTCCAGAAATTACTGAACGCACCAACAGTGGCGAGAAAACAACGCATCTCTTGAACTGAAGAGTAAACCGCTCTTGATTAATGTTGTGTAAGATACAGTCTTCTAAAGTCCTAATGTGTCAGTATCGCGGAAATTGCAGATGCGCGAGGTTCCGAACTTATTGGAACTCATCAGGTGGATGAGGGGGAATCCAGAATTGTACTTTTACGTTTGGTTCATTCCATTGTGATATGGATTCACCGTTTTAACATTTAATCCTAAATTCGGTCAGGGGCGTCCAGGAAACATGCCTTACGGATCATAAAAGACTAATTTATTTTTCAGAGAGGCTGAAATTCACTGCAGCATTCGCGTTTTGTTTCCTGATATCTTGCTGGATGTAATTTTTGTTTCACAATGGTTATCGTCGTCACACTACCCTACTCTTATCTTTTCCACTCCCTGTTTCGTTGCTTTCCAGGTGTCAGAAAGGGTAAGTTTGTGCGATAGGCATTTATGAGGCTGGCTTTCTGGTGTATTGTTTCGATTCTTCCTCGGTGATGGTCTTTTGATGCCGCGGGAGTGGCTTTTCAGCGTTTGTTAGCTGTTTGTTTTCCTGCGTCTACTTTGGTGTTTGTTATCGAGTAGTCACCCTATCAGAACCCTTACTTTAACCATTATCTGATCGTTAGAACTCTGACTAGTAGGTGAGGAAGCGAGGTGGTGTGAGAACGGTCTTTTGGGCTGCGGTGATGGACAGCTGTCCCAACTTACAAATCGTTACTGAATTAAGAACTATGGTAACCAGTATTTCTGCTCCTTAGTGCACTCCGTGACTGTTGCAACATTTGCCATTCAACATCGTTCTTTTTAAAACCGGTATCACGTTTGCTTCGCCATACGGAGAACTCCTGAAGTGTTTTTCGTGCTAAGAGGGTGTGAAACGCTTTTGAGAACATTTCATTGGGTCAGTCTATTGTATTTCATTAGCTATTCTTGGTATGTGCAGGTTGGGGTTCAAGTTAACCATCCTTGGGGCGAGATGGCCCAAGTGGTTAAGAGCGCCAATTTATTGACTGGAAGATCTGTGGTTCGAACCCGACTTCTGCCTCTCGACCTCCCTTTTCTAGGCTTGGTCAACCTGGCAGTATCCCAGCCCTCGTGCTTCCTTTGAGTAGCATGGCTGCTTGACATCGGAAGGGTGTTACAGCTGAACGATTTTATTTTTGTCCATCCTTGAGCTTGTATGAATTTATTAAAAGACGCCAGCTGATGTCCCTATCGTTTATGCCATCAGTTTCCTTCCAGACTGTTTGAGTGTTCTGTGATTGAGACATCTCAAAGTGTTTGTAGTAGGCTAGAATCAGGTCCTTTTATTCGTGCCCCTGAAGAATTTGAAAACAAGTAGTGAACTTTTCTAATTGGGATTTTAACCTGCAAGTGGAGCCAGTCTGTGCTGAAAACCCGAGAAGTACCGTACTGTAAGAATAATTTGACAAAATGAGTGTAACCTCTATCTCTGCGTTGCCATCACTCAAGGAGTCAGTCGACACCTGATCACTGGATGTGGAATCTGTGATTGAAAAATGAGTGGGGCTGCATCTTGTCAAAGTGCGACTGAGACTGCTGCCCGGCCGCCCGTTGAGAGCGCTTAGGTGTTCAAACTACTGGTCGGGAGGTGGCGGGTTCGAAACTTTCCGGGTTTTCATGATGATGATTCCCAACAAGGACGAAATAGCTGTATAGGCTTTTCATCATAGACTGACTTCTATTGCAGGACGAAATCTGAAGCAAGCACTCACGAAATCCCAAATTACGAATGGTTATCTTAACTGCCTTGGGATGACCGGCTTCAGTCGAAATATCGTTTGGCTATACGAGACAGCACATTGGGATACCAAAGGATAACTTTCTTCCTTTATTGTAGGAAAGATGAGCGAGTGAGCGATCGATAGTTTAACAGCAAGCACTTCGATCCTTACCATACATCTCGAAATATCCCTTTCCATGCTCACTCGGTTGCGTACTCTTTCGAGGAGGAAAAAAAACGTTCAGCTGTAGTCCTATTTCGGTGCCTAGCTGCCGTACCAACGAAGGGAGACACGAGGGGTGGGATACTGTGAGGTTGCCCAAGCCTAGACAGGAGCAGTCGAGATGCCGAGGTTGGGCTCGAACCGGTCCGTAATCTAGCACCTCAACCACCGAGCTATCTCAAAGTCGTATTGACAACTTGTCCATATAATAGTGTCAGGCTCCGGGATTGCGTCGAAATATTTGTAGCTGGGACGCTTTGGTCATCGGTCATATAGCTGCTGATCTACAAATATTTCGTCACTGTACGCAGAGGCCTGGTTGACGGCGCGGTGCCTGTGTGGTGACAAGCCATTTACTAACTTCGGCGAATAGGTCAACAGCCACCTGAACAACCAAGGAACTGACTTTTCGACTGCGTAGATAGGTTTAGGATAACAATGATAAATTGCCAAACTTTGAAGCGGAACTTTCGCAGAAAACAATGTCAGTGCGTCCAGCTGCAGCACCCTTTCGGTGCCTAACTGCCAAGAAAGCACGAGGGCTTGGAGACTGCCTGGTTGCCCAAGCCTAGTCAAGGAAAGTCGAGACACAGGTCGGGTTCGAACCACGGAAATTTAGGTCAGTAAATTCGCGCTCTAACCACTTGAGCGATCTCGCCTCCTCCCATTCACAGATCACTGAGATATGTCTGCAGTCGGAAGACTGTGTTGACGGTCTAAATACCTTGTTTTGCGAGAAATTCAGATCTGGTCGATTCTGAAAACTGCACGAGCAGTCTACTCAGAAAAGAGAATCACGAATTGCTTGGGTCTTCTGACAAATCGTCAATCGGGTTACCACACAGAACGTGAATTACTTGACTGAATCATGAGCAGTACTACATCCTGTCTAATTGCGAATCAATGGCCCGTAGCCGAATGGCACACTCTAGCCGGGATGTCCTGGGTTCCAATTTCCACAGGTCAATGTGTTAGATGTGCACTGCTGGTGATAGCTAGGAAGGATGGAATAACTGTACAGTGCTTCTCGGTTTTTCACTATAGATTAAATTCACTCAATGGGGCACAATTTCAACCGAAAATTCGGTTACATAAACCCTAAAAAATTGATACGGGAATTGGGGGTATGTTGTCGACAGTCATGTCAGCCTGTTTTCCCCCCACCTTAACTAGACTTAGATTTCGTTTCTCTTTCAAGCTACGCTACTCATCTTCAGCTCGGTAGACATACTGGCCCTGGCCTAAGAATCCCACACCACTCTTTTTTGTCTTCTTTCAACTCAACTCTGCGGCTCATGCCGGAGAAACATCAATTGCAAACGAAAGATCCCGCGTTTAGTGAGGTATTCCCAAATAATGCATACAGTACCTATTGCCTGAAACACTCACTTGATCGCGGTGTTTCTTTTGGTTACAGTTCGGTATTCCTCTGACAGATAATTCGCCTTCTCCGTGTGCTTCCGTGACAACTGGTGACCAGCCGGAACGCACTGTCCCATCATTCAGCCCTGCATCGGCCTCAACATCTCCATTGACAAACTCGTCAATGCGACCTGTATCCAACCCTTCCAATCAACGGAACTCTTTTTCCAACGAGTCCTCTCCTCCAAACACCGTAGAGCGTGCTTCTGGTCCGGCATCAACGATCAAGAACACTAGTCCCAATACACAACCACACATGTCACATTCCATGTGCTCCTCTCCGAACAACGTTCCCGTGAATTAGTAAGTTAGTTATGCTGGCCCTTCTCTTTCTCATCGAGCTTTCGTAGCCATGTGCTAGCATACCAGTCATCTCCGTAATTCAGCTGACTGGGTAAACCCAGCAACCACCATTATGAGCCTTCCCTTCATAGAGTGTAA